CCCCCGTCCTCCTCCACGGGCCACCTCCGCCCTGACGGCCACTCCCGGGACCCCAGCGTCCGCCCCACTCACCCGTGAGACGATACACAGACGGCTAGGGGGCGTCTCCGGCCCGCCGCCACTCAGACGCGCGTCTGGGCTTCGCCACCCTCCCCGCCCACCTGCGGGGACCCTGCGACCTGCAAGGCCAGCCAGCTCTGCTGGTCCGGAATCCCCAAAATGTCAGAGCAGGAACAGAGAGGAGGAGACAGACTATTTCTTGAAGCCACAGGCATAAAGCGATTGGACGTGACAGGAAAGTAGAGCTCCACTTGACATGACGGCAGCCAGAAAAATACTCGACACGACGCGTGGAGGATCCGCTCCACGCTGCTCACTTTACACACATACATAAACACGCGTACTCGCAGGAAACCCGGCCACGCATGAAGGGGACAAGGCTTGGAGATGTGAAGTGACTTGCACGAGGTGACAGCAGCAGAGCTAAGCGCAGGTGACACTCCTCTCTGTGGGAGAACATGGTGGGAAGAGCTGAAAGCTGCAGACGGCCGTGAGGACAGCAACAGTCAACAGTGGGCAAGGGGTTCCCAAACTCAGACCGAACCCCCACCCCCCAAGGCAGGGGCATAAAGGGAACGGAGTGTCCTGTTCGGAGGCACAGAGAAGGTGACAAACTACTCCTAGGACCCGCGGCCAGGCCAGCGTGGGACCCCTAACTCGCCAGACAAGGAGCGTGAACAAACAGATGTCACTCCAAGGAGGAGGGCTGCCGGTGCTCAGGTCCAGTTCCTTTGCTATTCAAAGGTGATCGAATGGACGTGGCTCTCAGGCAGGTCCTAAGAGCAGCCACAGCGGAACGTCCAGCCAGAAATGAGGGGCGACGAGCCCTTCTCAGGGCAGATGGCAACTGGCCTGGCCTGCTCCCAGAGCTGGACGGGATGCAGAGCAAACCGAGGCACAGAATCCGACCCCGAGTATCCTAGAGAAATCAGTGCAGACAGACAGACCTGCCCAAGCGCCCAGAGTGAGCTACGGGCCAGGAGAAGCAGCTTGCCTTTGGGACGCCTGCAGCCTCCAGGGTGAGAGCAGCAGGAACACGAGACAGAGGGCTTCCTCTGCCACACGCCGCTAGAGGAATCTCAGGGCTCCCAGCTCGGGGCCACCAGTGCTAACGTGGGAGAGCAAGAGGGAGACAGACGGGGGGACTCCAGGAGGCCGGCCCTGCGCCGCGTGCCCGCCCGCCCGCTTCCCCGCACCTGCACACCTGAAGTGAACACGCACAGAGCTCTGTGCCTGCTCTAGGCTCTACTTTCTAGGTGGGCCAGACAAACTTATGTAAAAACTGGAGAAAAGAAACTTCAGGAAAAAGCAAAATACAAAACACACAAAAACTAGTATCTCCCCAAAAAGAGATTTTTTTTAAAAAAGTGCATCTATGAAACAAGACTATTATGCCATTAAAATAAGAATAGTCGTTTGGGGTGACGATGCTGTGCCCAGGCAGCCTCACTGACTATAACGCGTGCGGGTGGGGGAGGCAGTGGGTACGTAAAATATCTTTGTATTTTCCACTCGAGTTTTTGCAGTGAATCTCAAACTGCTCTAAAAAATAAAGTCTATTAAAAAAGGAATAATAAAAAATAAAATAAAATAAAGGTGGCTCTTAGAAATTAAAAATGAAAACAGAAATTTAAAAGTCACTAGAAAGCTTAAAAAGTCACGTTGACATGCTTCAAAACCTAGAACACCACGACAGACACAGAAGAGGAGATAAAAGATAGAGAACCAGTCCTGGCAGCTACCACCAAATAAAAGCCATTCTCAACGGAGAGAAGAGGAAAATGGAAGAAAATAAAGAATTGATTCAAAAACATGTCCCAGCCCCAAAGGGTCTGAGTTTCCAGTTTACAGGCATAAATGTACACTCCCAACAGGGCCCATCTTCAAGGCATTTCCAAGCGGACACAAAGAGAACACCCTATAAGCTTCCAGACATGAAAAAGAGAAAAAGGAGAAAAAAAAGAAACGAACAACAACAACAAAACACACTGAGTTTTCACACAAAGAATCGAGAACCTGACAGTTCATTTCAACCCCATTCTGGCTAAAGACCATGAATGGCAGAAAACTACGTCTAACTTAGAAGTCTGTTCTCAGACAAACCATCAGCTGTGAGCACAGAATAAGGACGTTTTCAGACACACGATCTCTCAAAAAAAAAAAAAACCTGCACACACCTCGTTTTTGGAAGTTACTATGGAATGTTCGCCATCAAATTCTGGAAAGAAACCAGGCCAGAGGAGTCGTGAGCGCCGAGGGAAAGGCAAAGGGCATCATCCCGGGATGGTGGGGCCAGAGGCACAGGAGAGATCGTTTCCAAGAGATAAAACTGCCAAATACCAGCGGCGTGTGAAGGGACATTTGCACAACTGTGTCAGTTTGGAGTGGGGGTGGGGGTGGGGAGTGATAAGTACATAAAGGACTAAGCAGATGCAAAAACAACTCCAGGAGAAAACGAAATGTCCTACGGGACAGAAAAAGTTATCACAGTGGACTCCAGCCCCGCCGCCCGCCCGTTTCAGGCTGTCGCGGGGGTGTGAGCAGTGCACGCTGGTCCGCCCCGTCTCTCCAGAAGAGACGCCGGCCAGAAGGGAATGCGGGAGCAGAGCAGACCGGGATCCTCACCTTCCGAGCAGAGAAGTCAGCATCACGTGGGAAGCTGCGG